TACCAGTGAAAATCAACACCACGTGCCCAAAGTGCTGTAAATACCAGCAAAATCAAGATAGTAAAAAAAGTCAAAAAAAACAAGTCCAAAAATCAATGTCGCCCCGAGTCAAAAATATTTTTATCTAGTCCGCCGTCGCTATATATATATATATATACATACACATGCACACACAGCGTGGAACAGTTATATATTTATTGGCTTTGATTTTCTTAGTGAAATGTCTTACTGGACTGCATGGTGCAGTACTTGTGCTTATGCAGGATGCCCAGCGATGCCAGAGATCGGTGCTTAGTCTCTCCATAATTGAGTTTTTTGTGGCATCTGGCACCACTGTTCAAAGACGGCGCTTGACACATTGTGCGAGTGTGTATATATATATACACATTTATATGTATATAAGCAATTTACAACATATTGAGCAGATACCAGGAGGTTGGTGCCACTCTGGAGTATCGCAACTTTGTAAGACTAGTTTTTGTGTCGAAGAAAGGATATGCACATGTTGTCAGCTCATGTCTACTTAGGTCTCTAGACAATGAGACCAATGTCAGCTTCCAGTGGATTGCAGCAGTCGTGGCTTCAGACTTCAGCTTCAGTTCTTTGGGTTGACCGTTGCAAAACCAAGAGAATGCAGGAAGTTCAATTTTTAGTGAACATTGCAAGTAAGGAATCGGGCGAAAGATACCTTACCTTAAACCATTCATGCTATATTTTCGTTTGGTAGTTTCCTGATGTTTCATGTAGTTTGTCTTGCCATGAATCCGGGCGTCAAGTCAAGTCATCAACCTGAATGCTTTGCTGAGCTACCCAGGTGTTCTTTGCCGACCAGGAGGCCAATTCTGACACGATTCTTATGATTGGATCAGGCAATTTCGGTGAAGCCAGGTTCAGTGCGTAAGACTCTCTCAACCTGATGGAGTTGTGGCGTGCAAGGCTTAGAAGGGTTTCAAAGGGGCTTTTTGACCAGAAGGAGACTCTCTCATTCCAGGCAAGTCGAGGACACTTGAATGCGCTAAGGCCCCAAGTGCGCGTCCTGTCCTGCGATTTGGAGGTCACTTGCCTGACGATATTTCATGCACCTTTGCTCGTAGCAGCTTTTTGCTCCTAGTAGCGATGCCCTTTGTTGCTAGTAGCTTGTAGTAAGGCCAGGAGCCGCTAGTAGCGTCCTTGCTCCTAGTGCTTCAGAATCTGACACGCAGAGGCAATTTTGCCTGGAAAGCTGGACCTGGCCAAAGCCAATGGAAAACATGTTCCTTCGCAGGACACCAAGCTGACAACAGGGGAAGACTCCAGAGCATTTTGACCTGAAGGAAAATGCTTGTACACAACAACCCGACCTTGATAGCAATTCATTTTTGATTTGTGTCATTTAGCTGTGCACAAGAGGTCATGTGCCCTTTATTTTGCCATGCAGCAAGCCGCACTTGTTTGCTGCAAAGGGTTTGCAATTTCCCCAGTCCCCGGTCTTGTGACTCAGGCCTATGCGAAACCCTCCAGCCAACTGCCGGTGAGCAGCGCCGTCTGCATGAAAGAGCACAATGGACGTGGCAAAACAGCTAGCAAGACGAGTTCAAGATGTGAGTACAGAGCCAATGCTAGTACTGAATTCAGAGCCAATGATCGTATGTTGCCTCCAGGTACATGGCAAGTATCGTAACTGATACAGCTCGAGTCTGTATCCCAGCAAACGGAAAACGTTTTGTAAAGTCATCAATTTGCTGCTCTACATCAATTTCTAGTCCTTGCGTGTGGCTAACCTCCGGCCACTGAAGGTTGGACAAGACAATCCGTGCTTCGCTCAGAGAAAGAGCAGCATCAATAGAGACCACCGGTGTTTTATACTTGAACTTGTTTATCCCCAAACAGTTTACTGTTGGGGTTCTCTCTTAGAAAAAAAGGAGCTGGCCACAGTCTCTGGCCGCACCCCTGAACCCTGTGTCGAGGACTTGTCCTCCTGGTGTCCTCCTGGTGATTGCAGTTGTCCTGCTGTTGTCCTCTGGCCGTGCTGGCCAACGCTGTCCTCTTCTTGTCCTCCTGGTGTCCTCTCTTTGTCCCCCTTTTGTCCTCTTCTTGCGGGCTCCCTTCACCGAAAACAAAAGCTGCCCACAGTGTCAGGCCGCGCCGGCAAACCCTATCTGGATGTCCTTTTCTTTTCCTCTTGTCAAAATCTGTTCGGTCCTCTCTTCCTCATGTTCTATCTCTGCTTTTTTGCTCTAATTCTCCGCTTGGCGTCCTCCCCTCGTGTTGTCCTGCTGTCCTTTTGGCGGTGTCCGCCACAGCTTGTCTCTTGGTGTGTGGTGGGTTCGTTTTGCTTTCCTTCCCTCATCCTTTTGTCCTTTGCGTCCTTTGTTGTCCTTCTGTTGTCCTGCTGATTACATTGCTTTCTGAGGTAGGGTTGGGGCTGTGGCTGCCCACAACATCAATTCTTGCCGACTAAGATGTTTGGGGTCTATGCTGGTATGATTTTTTAATTTTCAGCACATTGTTTGAGCCGGCTTGACGGTTTGACATGTGTACAACCGTACAACCTAGGCCTTTTGTAAAGGCAGATGTGGACCATGTGCAAGGACAGGCAGTGTTCTCTTCAAAGCAGTGTGCAAGGAGACTCAGAGCTAGACCAGTAGATCTTCTTTCCTGTTATTCATGTCACGAGTTGGCAGTGGCTGAGGCGGTTGGACCAAAGCTACAAAACTACGAGATCATAGGCACTGCCAGGGCCAAATCTATCCAGTGCAATTGCGGCGAGTGAAAAGAGGTACTATAAGTACAAGCCATTGAGACACGTTTCTTTTACTGTCAAGCCAGCTTTTGGTCAGGTTTGGCAACAGCGGAGCTTGCCTACGAGCGTGATCCCGGTTCCACAATTGTCATGCCAGGAGAACTCAGAATGGACATGCCAATGGCAGTGCTTGCAAGTTCGTTTTGCCAATGTTGATTCCCACTGCTAATCCTCATGCCTCAAGACTCAGGTGTTATTGCATCCAGCGCATGTTCTTAGAACCCGCGGTGCGCACACCTGGCCAGCACTGTTTTCCTTGATATGCTGAGAAAGGACAGAATCAACATTGGTTTGCACTGCAAACATTTTGGTGTATTGGCAAGTTTTGCAGCAAGTTGAGAGGTCATGCTGGAATTGGACGCAGAGGACAAGGTAGCCATTATGTGTTTCATGCTCAGCTTCCAGTTGGCTTTTGGTCAGTGCAATCCAGCAAGTTGGCAGTGCGCACAGGAGCAGAAAGTGGATTGTCGTCTAAGCTGGCTTCAGAGAAAGCTTAGCTGAGGCTCCAACTTCACCGACATGGCGGAGGGGAATTACCACAGGGCCAGTAAATCAGCCAGAAGCGTCACTATTGAAGCCAGGGTTTGGTTGGTCTCAGTGTTCACACGAGATGTGGAGCACCGCCCAGTCCTGGATCCGTGTGGGTGTGATCGTCGTTTTCAACGAACTTTTTGAGGCGAAAGCGCTTGCTTTGAGACTACAGCGTTCATTTCTTTTGTTGAAATGACGGTGTTGAGGCTTGAGGTTGTTTGAGTCCGTTGGAGTTACTTCATCGATTCGTCAACCTTTGATAGGCGACAATCCGGCACACATCCACCACAGTTCGTTACAAGGCCCGTGCTCCGGTCTGGTATTGAAGATGATTTCCTGGCCAGAGAAAACATGCAACTTTGTGTGTGTGTGTGTTTGTTACTTTTTCTCTGTATTAATTCCTCCGTTGTGGTTGTTCCTGTTCCAGGACGAGACTACACGTTTGGTGCGACACTTCAAGCTTCTCGCCTGAATCTAGCACTACGTGCCCGTCCTTCAATGGAAACAGACTATGAAGGCAGTGCTTCTCCAGCCGTTGAATACAGGTGTTCTTCGTACTACTAGGAGCAAGGACGCTACTAGGCGCTCCTGGCATCGCTACTAGGAACAAAGGTCTGCAGTCCGGAGACGTGGAGCTAAGGAATCTCTTCTGGTTCTGGCCGTCAGCTCAGCCTTATGGGTGATGTATGTATGACCGGCCCTGACTTCTTACTCCTGGCTTTGTTAGTCTGAAACAGCTGAGCTTCAGTTTTTGACTGCATGTTGGTATCAAGAATTTATACTGCAAGGTTCAACGCTCCTATTTTCGAGCATAAAAGCGGCTGTCGAGTGTACACTTCTCGTTTTGTGCGTGTCATCCTTTGCGGACCAGCACTCCTCCCTGGTCGTGCGTTTAGCATCTGACCAGCATTCGAAAATCGAGCCGTAGGCTCAAACCGCTTCAACCGCCACACACTTTACATTGGCGGATCTCAGTCATCGGTCCCGTGACCGCATTGCACCGAGCATCGGTGTGGAAGTTGCCGAGCTGGTCCTCATAGACGAAGTTCGTCTCTCGAAGACTTCTCTGGCCTCTGGTGGCCCTTTGACAGGCTCCACACACCGGTTGTTCATGAACTCGGTTGGCCTTGCTCAATCCCCTGCAGCTCCGCTGTCTATGGAAGCACTTGCTGGACTCCGCGAACCAGATCTTCCACGTTGGCTCATTGGGGAATCGCCTCCTCCTCCCAGTCAGGGTGATCTGCAGATGATGCCCTCCAGGTAGGTCAGCTTGATTCGGCGGCTCCTCCTGTGGCTCATTCAGCGCGGGATCCGGTCTCCCTTGATGTCCATCTTCAATGCCTCCGCCCATCCTGGTACCCCTTGGTGATGAGGATGAAGCACTCTGCCCTTCATGGTTCCTTTGCTGCCATTCCCCATCACGTTGACGTGGTTCTTGATCTCCTCCTCCTTGAGGTCTGGTAGAAGTCCTTGTCCCGGAAGAAGATTGACCAGCCAAGCGAGAGACCCTCACTCTACGCGTCGCCGGATCGTCCTCCACCCGGTTCCAATGCAAACGGCATTTTTGAATGACCTTCATGAGCACCATTCCCAGCAACATCATCATGACGCTGAGGAGGTACAAGATCTGGTCACCCTCGACATTCTCATCGGCATTCTTGGTGACATTCTCCGCCATGGCTCCATGCACCTCTTTCAATGCCGACAACACCACAACAAGCCTCATGGCCTTCTCCAAGTGGTACTTCGCGACCAACTTCATAGCCCTCGGTGCGACAATGCCCTTGTCCTCCTCATGCACTTCGTCCACTGAGTCAGGCTGCCATGACATTCCCATCCGTTGCCTCAGCTCGTTGACCCGGGCCACTGGCAACGACTTGGTGCCGATGTCCGCGATGAGCTCTCTTCCAGGCTGGTACTTCAGCTCCCATTGACCAGACTGGATCCTCCATTTGAGGTGGGCGGCCCGTACCTTCAAGTGTCTTGTACGCCACGCTCCAGTTGCACAACTTGCTATTGAAACTGCAGCTGTGTTGTCGCACTTGAGGAACTTCGGGACGTCCTTCGCCATCTCATCAACCAGACATGCGATGCTGTCTCCCACGACCACAGCTTCGATGACCTCTATGAGCTCTGCCTCCGCGGTTGAAAGGGCGGGGAACGGCTGCTTGCAGCTCTTCCATGCCACCGGTGCTCCGGCCACCGTTGTGATCACGCAGCCATGGCTATGAGCACCACCTGGAGCGAAAGAGGCATCACTCACTGACTCCAGGATGAAGTTGGCGTCTCTCCTGTACCACAAGCCCAGGCCCTGCGTGGCATTCAAGTGCCTGATCAGCTGGTATGCGGTTTGGATCGCCCATTTTGGGGCCCGGCTCGTCGCTGAGCAGATTCGGCTGACCGTGTAGGCAATGTCCGGCCTCGTCTTCGTTGCCAGCCACAAAAGTTCTCCTCCGAGTTGTTGTGCCTCTCGGACCTGCAAGGGCGTGCGATCCAGCTCATCCTCGGGTTCCTGGGATTCCTTCATCATCTGAGCGCTGCAAAGGTCCTCCATGCCATGTCGCCGAACCACTTCCCTCAAGTAGGAACATTGATTGGCAAAGAAGTCTCCTTGTTCAGTTCGGCTCAACTCCATTCCACAGTACCGAACTGGTTCACGATCTCCCACCCACGTAGGTTCGGACGTCTCCCAGGTCCTTCGAAAGCTCTGGAGCCCTGCCCTCACAATCTCCTCGGCGCCGAAGAGCATCACATCATCCACGTACACCAAGGCGAGTCCCTCAACCTGGTCTCCATCTCCGGCATCTTTCCGACGCACCAACCACAAGTTCTCCTCCGCGAAGCTCTGTTGGTACTCATAGGTGACGGAGTTCGCCTGAAAGGACATCTGGCTGATCTCGATGTCCCTGTAGTCCCCCCAAAGCTTCGGAGACTCACGCAAGCCATACAGGGCCTTCTCCACCAACCACATTTCCCCGTCCTTCACCAATCCCAGCCGAATGAGGATCTTCGGAGGAAGCATGAGCTCCAGTCGTTTCCTCTTCGTGAGGTCCTCCTCCTGCTGCTCTTCCATGGCCATCTCTTCTTGACCATCGCGACCTCCTCCAGCTTCTTCATGATCCTCTTGGGGTCGACCATGGGCGTCTTCCAAGGCAAGGTTCTTTTTCCGGCTGCTCTCCTGAAGTGTTCGTAGAGGTGCGTTCAAGAGAGCAGTCTTAATGTCCAGGCTAGCCGCCTGCCAGCCTCGCGAAGCGGCCAGTGCCAATGAGGTCCTCAAGCATGTAGTATCCGCCCCACCTGCATAGAGCTGAGCTGCCTCCGAACGATCTCCAGGACCTCTTCCAGCTCCCTTCAGGTAGTTCCCGCACACCACCAGGCGGCATTTCCTTCGTCCGTCAGGGGCCTTCACCGCATGGATGGCCTTCCCTGGAACCACCTCCACCTTGTCTCCATGCTCTCTCTGGTAGTAGGCCACTTCTGCGGGAGTCAGTCGCCGAATCGCCTTCTTGCCCTCCAAGGACTGGATCTCCTTCATAATGGCCTCCAGCCACAGCTCCCGGTCTTTGTACACCTCATCGTTGGGCACGATCCGGGTTTGGAGAATCTCGTCTTCCAAGAGTCGTTGGGTTGATGCCACCTGTTCTTGTCGTAGAGCAACCAGACCTCGGCTCAACGGAGGAACTTCTCTTGGAGCAGCTCCCAACAAGTGACCCTCCTCCTCATAGACGGCCTGAAAGAGCATTCGACGATCCTCCTCCCTCTGTAGGTCTTCTTCTCCCCGTATGCATGCCAGTGGTGTCTTCTCTCTCAACCTCCAGCGAAGCCGTACAGGGTCGTCTTGGATATGGACCTCCTCCATGACCAAGTCTCGTTCGTCGGGCTTAGGCTCTTTGACATCCTTTATCAAGTAGCTCACTACCTTGACCTTCTCCTTGTCCGTGAGGACCGCGTGCCCTTTGGACACTTGCGGTGTAGGTGTCAGGTAGGTCACCATCTCGGATGTCGCTTCAAAAGGTCCTCCTCGCTCCCAAGCTCGCTTTCTCACCGTGATGAGCTGCCCAAAGCGTGGAAGCGTCTCCTTGATGTTCTCCCTTCTCCTTCTTTCCAGCTCCGTGACATGTCTCGCCGCTGCCGGCCACCACTTCGTGGGCACGCCCGAAGCATGTAGAAGTCGACGGACCCTTTGCTTGATCGACGCAATCATGGCCTCAGCACGACCGTTTGATTGGTGTTCATCCGGAGGACTGAAGGTTCTAGCCAGCCCCCTCTCCAAGCACCACCTCTTGAACGGGTTGTTGTCGAACTCCCGGCCTGCATCGGTATGGATTCTAGCCACAGGGTAGCCGTGGCGTCTCAGCATTCCAAATAGTTCCTGTGTTCCTGCAAGGACTTCTGCTGCGCTTTTCGAGGTCAGTGGTAGGCAAATGGACATTGTGGTCATCTTGTAGACCTTCTGGTGCTCTTCAACTTCCTCTGGAGTCTTTGGAGGTGGTACCGATGGTGGTTCTGGTTGACTGGGTCCTGGATCAGGCGGCGGCTCTAACTGATCACCGTCTCCTTCGCCCTGCCGTTCATCCTCCTCCGGCTCACCCATCTCCAGATCTTCGCCCTCATCTGACGTAGGTCGATAGGACATCTCCTCACCATGTGCTTCCAGATCCTGAGCCAGGTCATACTCCACCTCCCGAAGAGCCTCCTCTTCCTCGAGTGTAGGCCAGTCCTTGTCTGGGATCACCTCCAGCTGTTCAACCTCGTCCCATGGTGCCTCCTCCATGACCGGCCACGTGTATGCTCCAACCAGGAGGTACTTCTTGAGGTCGCCGTCAATGTCATGGCCGAGCACAAATGGTCCAGTCAGATCCAGCGACAGCACACACGGAGCCGCTATCCCTTGAGCTCGATGTGGTCGATCCCTTGCCGCTGCTCTCTGACAGACAGCGCAGTCTCTGCGGAACGGCGCGTGTCCCTGTGCCAGGTGCTCCTGCCAAGACAAGGCCTTCATCGTCACCCGCCTCTTCTGGATGTTGACAGTGATGCTTCTTGCAATCTCTCGCATCATTCCGGGGGCCCATCTCGCCAGCTCGGAGCTCGACACCTCATGCTTGGTCTTCAAGAAGGCCTTGGGCGGGCCCCGATCCTCGGGAACCATGAACTCCATGTTCAATGCCAGTGAGGTAGGTTTCACCGCCATACCACCATAGGCACCCTGGTTGAAGGTCACCATGTCCAGGTTGAGATACTCTTTCATTACCTTCCACTCTTCGGTTCTCCAGAAGGATGCCACTTCCGGCATGTGCTGAGGCGCTGCAGGCTGCTCCATCAAGAACCTGACCGTTGGCAGCAACGCGGGATTCTTCTCCTGGGACAATCGTGCATCTCGACCCAGCTTTGCCACCACATAGAGCGTCACCATACGCAACAGCAGCACATCGTCCAAATGGCACTTTGCCCTCTCCACTTCATCCAACTCGTCCAAGCCCCAGGGTCTTCCCAACGATCTCGACGGCCCTGGTAGCCCCGTGACCGGATGATGTCGTAGTTCACTGCGGGTCCTGCAGTTGGGTCCACCGATCACCGCATCAATCCAGCCCAACATCGCAATCCTTAGCAGTGCTGCGTACATTGCATCGTCCTTTGGCATGTCATGACTTTGGTTTCGAAGGATATCCACCTCCAACAATCTCGTGGTGTCTCCGCCAGCCTCCTTGAGAGCCCTTGTGAGATCGTAGCCCTCATTCTTCCCAGCGTAGAGATGAACCACCACACCCTCATTTTTCCAGCGCTTGCGGATGCGTCGATTGACTCCAAGGACCTCAAGATTCCTTGCTGGAGAGTCCACCAGGCGATCCTTGATTCGGATCGGGACCTTGTCGAAGATCGGACAATCTGCCACCACCCGGTCCAGCCAGTCGACGTCATTGTGAGCCTCCCCAAATCGGTAGCGCCTCAACGCCGTTCTCGACCGAGATTCCTCCAGCTCCCTGATGAGGTCCAACGCAACATCATGGTCCATTTGAGGACATCCCGCCTCAACTCTGAGGTCAATGTTGCCCTTGACTGGGCGCTCCAAAGTGCAAGCTTCCCCCATCCACTCGATTCGACACCCCAAGTCGCGGACAAGCCTTCCGGCCGGGACGATCGGCTCCACGTTCTCATTGTTGTGGACCAGCGTCTCCCCTTCTGTCATTCGGATGTCTTGTGCTCCTCCGGCAGCCAACGTCACCCTCACCTGGCGATATCTCTGAAGGTCTTCTCCTCGGAGCTTGGGCCTCAGAGCGTGCGTTGCCCCAGAATCCAGAAGTCCCTCTCGACCTTGTTGGACTCGAGCTATCTTGACTGCCCGTAGCTCTGGGCCACCTTTCTCCCATGCTCGATTCAGCTTCTTCAATGTCGCACCAAGGTCCGTTGCACGATCTTGCCCTTCTTCTTCGAGGTTCATGCCCTTGAGCAACTTGTGCGCCTCATCAAGCACATTCTTGATTGGGTCTGCAGTTCTTGTCGCTGCATCCGATGCCGCCTCCGAAGTCACCGACTGCGAGGACGCTGCTTGAGGAGAAATTGAAGCCCCCGACTCGCTCCGCGAGGTCCCATTTCCACCACCACCAGTTTTGTCCAGCAGCTTCTGAAGCTTCGGTTTCTGGCCAGATGGAGGTCCTTCTCCCTTCTTTGCCGTCTCTTTCCTCGGACAGTCTCGAGCCAGGTGTTGTGTGGCCCCGCACGTAAAGCACCTTCTCTCCTGGTTCTGCTTGTCGCCAGTCTCCAGTTGATGCGCCCATTTGCACGACTGCCCTCTTCGACATCCAGACTCGGTGAGGAAATATCGACAAGGACCCTTCGCCGATGTCGTTGGCGAGTCCCCCTTCTTCTCTCGATCTTCCCCTTGTAGTGCCTTTACTGCCAATGGTCCACCTCCCTGATTTCCAGGTCTCGTAGTGCTCGAAGACGGTCGGACTCGGTGCATGAGTTGTTCAAGTTCAGCGAGTAAATGCTCAGCATACGTCCGAACAGTCTCCTCATTGGGGATGGTATCAAGCTGCAAGGTGTTTTTGACCAAGGCGCATCTGAATTGCAGATCCGGTTGTTGAGTGAGGATCCGCTTGCTGAGTTTGTTGATGCCCTTCATGAGGATGATCGCATCAGGGAGATTCAGGCCAATGTCGGTGGCCCTCCTGAGCCAGCGCATCCAGCGTCGGAGCCCCATGCAGGCTTCGCTTGGCGACCCTGCTTCTGGCGGATCTTCAAGTTGCCGCAGGATGATGGTGCGCTCATGAGCACCACCTGGTTGATAGAGGACCATGAGTTTGCTCACCAGCCCCAGCGGTGACAAAGTCCTCGTTGCTACCAGTTCCTCCTTCACTGATGTGGGAACCGAAGAAAGCAGCATGCTGATGGCCCTCTTTTCCACTCGAGCCCACTTCGGCTTTTGCAACTCAGCAGACGGCTCGATCTTGGATGATGCCCGCTGAATTGGACGAAGCTTGATGTACTGTTTGTACCAAGCCCTTGCTTCGCTCACCACCAACTCCCACCACTCGCCTGACGAGTCGCTAAGGTCTGTCATAGCCGGTTCCACCATAGTGAGCCAGTCAGCGAGGTCGATGGGAGCCGTATCGGATGGCTCTGCCAGGACTGGGAGTGTGGCCGTCCCCGGCTTGACCGACTCCGGTCCTTCTTGCTTCTTGTCCTTGTCGACCAGGTAGGTGATCAGCATGGACATCGCATCAGCCATGCCACCACCGTGCTCTCTTGATGGTTCCTCCCGAACATTTGCCGTTGAAGATCGACCAGGCTGCTCGGCTGCGGCTTTCTTCTTTGGCTGACCCACGCCTTTCCCGGTCCCTTGTCTCCCTTCCGGTTCGAAGCCCTTCGCCCGAGATGCCACCAAGCCCTCAGGTTGACCTCCTCCCTGACGTGCAGTTCTCGGACCTTGAGATCTCGACCTCTCTCGTTGCCCTTGCCCCCGACCACCTCGCTTTGCTGGCGCCGGAGTGACCGTCCCCATCAAGGATTGGAGCTGCTCGAACTGTTGCATGGGAGTCAACTCATACAGCCGGCGTCTTTCCACCTCCAAATCTGTCTCTCTCGGAGGCTCGTCGACCGTCAATTCCAGCTGACGATTCACAGGCTCATCGCTTTCTGGCGTTCTGAAAGCCTGCTGCTCCAGCTCACGTTGTAGATCATGGACCTTGGCTTCCAGGCTAGCCCTCTGGTACTTCATGGCGTCCATGAGCTCTGCTTGCTGAATCTGCAGTTGTTGATTCTCCTGCTTCAGCATTGCCAACATGGTCATCATCTCCTGTGGATTTGGCGGACCAGGGCCATAGGGATGCAGCTGAACTTGCCATCCTCCTTGATGCGGCATAGGTCCCCTCCTCTCTTCATGGGGCATGATGTACCCAGGTGGGCCAGTTTGTCCAAAGCCTCTCGGAACATGCAGACCTCTCCCTCCAGGCCCGTTCCCTTGGATCTGAACCACCGATTGCTCTCTAGGTTGGGGAGGTTGTCGCCCATCGCTGTCACTTTCAGGCTCTTGTACTTCAGGTGCCCGTGGTTCTCTTGGTCGTCCACGTCGCTGGTCATCTGGTACATGATCGCCCACCAGTGCCGGTGATGGTGTCCCCGTCGTCGTGCTCGTCTGTGGAAGCACTCCCACTGAACCTTCTTCTTTCGGCAGGAACGTGGGTCTCTCCTTTTGCACCTCCTCTGGCGACCTGTTCCCCATACCAGGCTGCCAGATGCTCTGCCTCGGGACTTGGGCATATAGGTGAGGAGCTTGGCTCTGTACCTCATGAAGTCCCTTCAGCTGTTCAGGCGTGAAGAGCGGGGTCATCGGCGTCAGAGTCGTTGGTGGCCCTTTCGGACCCTCCAGGGTCCCCTCCCCCTCTTCCACACCATCTTCTAAGGCGAGCTGATCATCTTCCAGCTGCCGATCTTGTAATTGAAGGCCTCCCTGATCGGCTGGGTCCTCTTCTTCATCCCCATCGCCAGGCTGCCTTCGTCCCCGACGAGCCACCATGGACATTGCTTGCAAGCGCGCAGGGCTGCCCGTCCTTGCCCACGGGTCTTACACCTGTCACCTTGGGCTCATAACCTGCAAGGTTCAACGCTCCTATTTTCGAGCATAAAAGCGGCTGTCGAGTGTACACTTCTCGTTTTGTGCGTGTCATCCTTTGCGGACCAGCATATACAATGAGGGCACAAACTGCCATAGACTATAGATTCTGGTCTAGAAGAGAACACACCAATCCCACAGTTTAACGGAACATTTACAGTTTACAGGACACGCATAGTTTTGGGGGTTCAACCTACACTTTCCTGTAGATTTTCCCTTGGAACAATGCATTGAATCAACGTAAATTCTGTGCTATTTCCTTTCTTTGGCAAGGCTTTTGAACGCAGCTGTGATGCCTGCCCTTGTGAGTTGCACCATACCTGCCAAAGCCTCGGCACGACTGCTAAGCTGGCAGATAGGGGCGCATAGCCGACCAGTTCAGAGACCGGTGGTCTCAAACGTTTCAACCTGTCCAGTTCCCCACCGAGGCGGCTTGGGGGTGGCTGAACCGGGAACTGGAACTCAGCACTGTGCCCCATGGCTGGGAGCCCAATGACATGCTTCTTGAAAATGACATACTTGTTGGGAAGCTGGAAGTGAAGGAACGAGTGGTCGGGTATTTGATAGAATTTAGAATGAAAGAGTTGACCAAACAAGCACTCACGTCCCTTCAGAAGGGTCATTTGGATTTGTTGGCAATGCGTTTGCCGAGGTGGCATGTCCATGAGGCGGTGCACGGCTCTTTGTTGGAGTGGTGTCAGCTAGAGCAGTTAGAAGGCATGTAGGATTCTTTCAGTTGATGTTGTGGCAAGTTGCCCGCTCCCCCCACCACACACTTGCACAAGCAAACTCAATTAAGTTTGGGACTGTCAAAGCGATGCAACTGCCTGTGAGTAGTGGGTACCGCAAGGGAATAGTTGTGTGTCCTATGTGTCCTTTTGCCAGGGAGTGGCACGGCTGGGTGGGCAGCGTCATCACGTTGAGCATGGCTTGTCGTGTCTTCATCCCACAGGCATGGCAAGTGATTTCATTTCGAGGGGGGCTTTGCACTTTCAGGATTTCTCAGAGCCTGTGTAAGTGTCGTGCGAACACCTAAGCACTCAGACCTTCTTTGCTTTTGTTGTATGACAAAATCACGAAAGCTAGCGAAGCTAGCTGGAGTTACTCTTGCGATAGCAAGGTTTCTTTCGATCGGGTGCAAATCCTAACCCCTGATTTTTCAGGTCGAAGCCCCCCCTCCCTCTCACTCTCACTCTCACTCTCACTCTCACTCTCACTCTCACTCTCACTGTCTCTCTCTCTCTCTCATCTCTCTCATCTCTCTCATCTCTCTCATCTCTCTCATCTCTCTTTCATCTCTCTCTCATCTCTCTCATCTCTCCCTCATCTCTTTCTCATCTCTCTCTCATCTCTCTCTCCTCTCTCTCTCTCTCTACTCTCTTCTGTCTCTCGTCTTTCCGTCTCTCTTCTCTCTCTTCTCTCTCAGGAGGATCCGGGCAAAGAGCCACATAGGACTCTTCACCTGGAATCGTTTGCCCCGCCGAACTTGTGCAAGGCGTCCTGCCTTCTGCCTCCCCTCTCCCCCTCCTTGTCTTCCTCGACCTTCCCTCCCTCCCTCCCTCCCTCCCTCCCTCCCTCCCTCTTCGCAAGTTCGACTCCGTCCTGTCGTCGCTCTTTGGCATGCGGTTAGCGTTGCGTATCTTGCGGCCGCACTCGCTCTGCAGCCTCTGACAACCCTCCCCGCAGACTTCCGACAGTCCGCTCTGCAGGTGGATCTTTGCGATGCCACCGCGACGTCTCCTTGACTGCCTCCAAAAAGAGCGCCATGTTTTTGCCTACCTCGCTGCCCTCCACTTTCCCATTCTGGAGCGCTAGCTTTCGCCCCCCCCCTTGGCCTCAAGTTCGCGTAAACCAGAGAAGCCAGGTCAATGTTGGGCTTTGAGCATGAACATGCCTGACCGTTTGGGAGCCGGGAAGAAAATTGCCGGTTCCTTTGGCACCACTATACTACTATAATCTACTATACATCTATTCCTGTCAAAAGGGCACATTCTATATTTCTTGCTTGGAAAGACATGCCACGGAAGACATCCTGGCGAAGGTGCCTGACCTAATTGCGGTTTGCTGCCGAAGATGCAATCGATACCGCAAGGACCGATCCTTAAGGATGAAGATTGAATGTTTGTCTTTCTTTCTTTTCTTTATTTCATTGTCTCTTTAGACCTTCAGACCTTTCTTTTGTTGAAGAAAACAATATCTTGCACAGCATGGATCATTTGCTTTGGCGATATGCAATTCTCACTTTGGTGAACGTACCAACACGGCACCGCTTGTTGTAGAGAAGATGGAGCAGCTGAGGAGCTAGAGAGATTAACGGAAGAGCCATCTAGAGTCTGAACACTAGCTCCGGATGTTGAGACAATCTAGAGCGACGAGCGACTTCAGACAATCTAGATTCTAGAGATGTCTAGAGATGTCTAGAGTCTAGAGTCCATGTTGAAAGCTCTGGACCTCGGCTTGAAACCCTTACTCTTCGTCTCTCACAGGCTCGGAAGATGATCTCCCAGGCCACAAGCTCTGGGCATGGGGATGGTTTGAGGTTCGAAGTCGGAGCGGCCAATCCAACCAGAGTCTTTAACACAAAACTTTGCATACCAAGTTTGAAAGAGCCTATAGAAGAGAATGAGAGAGAGACAGATAGATAGATAGATAGATAGAGATAGAGATAGAGATAGAGATAGAGAGAGAGAGAGACAAAGAGAGACGAAGAGAGCATGCTGCTCGGGTGTGTTTCGCAGGAAGACCTGAAGAACCTCTATGTGAACCCTGAGTGCCTTGGCTATTTTACGGATACAATGAACCAGATACACAGCCTTTTGATGTTTGTTTCTTGTTATGGTGTTTCATTCAGTGTACCTCAAACACTTTCCCATCTCATACACTTTTGCCAAGGTTCCGCATTGCAGAGGGCTTCGCTGGGATGCCCAGGGGATGACTGGCTGGAGAAGTTCTGCTGTTTCACAGGCATGTCCTTGGGAAAATAAGAATACTGAAAAGTTTCAGGTTTCAAGTTTCTCAGTCTTGGAGGCCATTGCTAGTTGGAGGCCACTCCTATTATAGATTGAGTCTTTCCATCTCGAGGTTGCTGGGTAGACCGCCAGAACCTAATTCCCATCTCAACATCTATGGCCTGTTCAGGAGTGCTTGTAGGAGCGACGCTGCAGTCATCACTAAATGCAGACGACTTACCTTAATATGGTGGAACAAACAGATATCTTCGGGGTGTGCTTGGCTCCATTGGGGGTTTGTGTTGCCTGGCCAAAGTGGCATGGAAAACAGGGAAGCTAAGACCCATGCAGTCTGGGGGGCCTGAAAAGGCTAGGAGCAAGGGCTCGCTACTAGGGGCTCCTGGCCTTACTACTAGGAACAAGGACGCTACTAGGAGCAAAGGGCATCGCTACTAGGAGCAAGGACGCTAGTAGGAGCTTTAGGAATGGGTTTGTTTCCCACAATATGGAATTGATGCCCAGCGGCCCAGCTCCCAGTTCAAAGCTGAAGGCAGAGGTGACTGTGACGGCAAGCATTGCAATGATTTTTGGTCCAGCGCTCCCTTTGCTGCAACTCGACTTGAGGGGTGGTGGGTGAGGCTTTGAATTTCTCCGTGCTGCTTCTCAAAAGGCAATCAGGGCTAGAGTATTACAGTATACATAAGCTAGCGTGGACTAAACGGGAAGCAAGAGAATTGCAAGAGGCAAATTAAAAGAAGAGGAGCAAGCAACTGCACTCACTAGATTTTGCTGTTCTCTCTGAGTCTAAAGTCATTGCTCAGGGATCAAAAATTCTTCTCAAATGCACTGTCTCTTTGGCTGAGGAATGTGCTAGCTGCCGTGTCCTGCTTCACACGCCAGAATGCCAGGAGTTGTCCTGATCCCTACAATTTTGGTGCCATGCCTTGGCTAAGGTTACTTGGTGGATTGGTATATTTTCTTGCGACACTCTCGACGCCCAGCTATGTACGATGAAATCATTGCCCGAGTGTCTGCCATGCTGGCCTGCTTTGAGCTGGGAATGGGTAGTCTTGGTTATTCGGACTAGCTGAAGTTGACTTTTCTCCAATAATATTTATGTATTGCGCACTGAGATTTTTTAGCACATACACCGAAAGGGATTAATGTATAAATAAATATATATATATATACATACACACACACATATACACAGAGAGTGAGACAGGCAGTGCTGGTAAAATGGCAGCAGTAAAACGCTCACTCCCACACAAGTCTTTTCGCTCCTTTCTTGTCCACCCGCCCTGTGGGCAAAGCACTCGACCGTTTCTGGTACCTGCTGCGTTCCATCGACTGCCTCAAAATCTAAAGTGTGCTGGGGATGTCCATGGCAGACCGCAGATGCTTTTGACCTTCTTATGATCTGGTTTGAGCACTGTTCCAGGTCAACCATTTGCTCATGGCCTTGGTGTTCCGCTCTGCTGTGACCTTAGGAAGGAAGCAGGGCAAGGAAGTCCAGAGAGCAACAAACAGGGCTGGGCTACGGATCTCAAGACGAGTACAGTAGCGGCTTTTTGGAGACTGCGACGATCTTGAGGCTACCAGCATTTTGGTTTGGGTGGATCCGCAGGGATCCCCAGCAGTAGTGGTTCTTTGGGTGAAATTTCATGCAATCTTCATTCTTGATAATCTTGATTCTTGATACTTGCGTAGATGACACTGTGAATCAGTCTCTGAACACCACTTGGATACACTACAAACCTGCTGTGAGAGCTCCAGCCAAGACAGGACCCTCTTTGCATCTGATGTGGAGGGCTGCGCGGAACCTCATGACCCATGAACATGTTATGCAGCAGGTATGAAAAGAGATGTAGGGTGCAAGTAGGCTTGTCCCTTCTTTTTACTCTGCACTGCACTACACTGCAGGTGTAATTGGGTTATATACAAGACCTCTTTCATCAATTGTTTGTCATGAAATCGTGTTTAACCTTTTGGAGAAAGTGGGTTGCATGGCCAAGCAAACGACTGAAACCCAGCCACAAAAAGACTTAGGCAGTTTCGATGAGACTGATGTGGATTCACTGCGAGCACAGTACTTCCAGCTCGTGGCCAAGTGTCTTCCTTCTGGCTTGCGGGCCTTGTGAGCACAGCGTGCCGAGCACAGCGTGCTGAGGGAAAACTTTCGCATGTTCGAGCTATTTGTCAATCCAACATGCAGTCTGAGGCTCAGATCGTTGACTGCATCTGACTTGTAGCATGTTGGACCATTTTTGCATCCAATGGAACAGTGAAACACATCATGTTTTGGAGCCTGTCAGATAGCTGTTTATGCTGACAACATCAAATATTCTTTTTGTCTGGGGTTCTTGTGCCTGGAATGTTCTCTAAGATCCGGGTGCCTGGTTCTTTGCCTTCCTGCCGGGTTTGTCAGCAGCTGGAGCCCAAGGACATTGTTGGGCTTGCGGAGTTTCAATTGAAGCCTTATCAGCCAATCGACTTACTCCACAGCACCTTGGTGTACCTTATAGGTGCTTGCTGGCTCAAGAAACCAAAGGTCGTTTTGAAGTTGTGCCATGGCGGTTATTGGACATTGGATTGGGGCGTTTCCCTTGAGCTACTTGGTGCCTCATGCTTCGGTGACACTGCTTTGCAAGATGGCAATGCTTTCCGATATGATTGCTGGGCTGCTTGTATTGTTGAAGATTGAGTTCGCAACAACCTTCCCTTGGTACTTGAGCACACCGCCTCCTGCCACCAAGCAGCTCTTGTCTGACTGGAAGTCGAAGGGCCAATGGCTACCCAAGGTCGATGAGAGTGCAGCCCAAGGTTTCAAGGGATTCCCAGGCCTTTTCCCATTTTATTTGGACATCACATATTCTCACAGCGTAGAAGGCATGGCAATTGCCTCCATATTAGTGGTATTTTTCATGCGTTTGCGCTACAGGATCAGCCTTGGGTATGCAACAGCCATTTTTGTCGCTGCAATTAGTCATCCTGTTTTGGACATGTTTTTCCATGATGCATATCTTTTGGCAGGAAACCGGGCGGTGACCCGCATCTCATTCAACTTCTGGCAAATAGCATACATAGGCCCAATCTCATTCCTATTGGAGTGCGGCCTTGCATATGCTGGCTACCGCATTTGGTGGTCAACTCGTGTCCCGATTAGTGATGATCCAGATGTTGTGAGCAAGATTTCGAAGTACACCAAGATGTTTTGGAGCCTGGCTTTGAGCCATAACATGACGTCTTTCTATGTTGCATCGCCTCTCTTGATTTGGGCTATGTACAGGTTCGCCCCAAGTGTTGAGTTTGGGACTCCTGCTTGCTACTGGGCGTGGATCTTGTTTGCTTTGACGATGTGGTCGTGGGCCTTTGCTTTGTATCCACTGCACAAGCTCGAAGGTTTGACACGCTTCAAGGGAGCTGTGGCTGATGAGTACCACAAGATTCCATGAGATTTTCCACGAGCTGCGTTAGCGTGGAAGATATTCCGTAAAGGCAATGCCTTCTGGGCCATGAAGGAGTTAGTTGCAGGGTTTCTCACTTGTTCAGTTCGAGCGCCGTCTGTAGTAGCCTGCAAATCTGTTGGCACTGGTCAGCTTGAGACATGAGCAGTATTTCTGAAAAAATCAACACAGGGACGAGTGACGAGTGCACGTTGAGTCCAGAGATGTTCGTGAAAGTCCATACCCATACCACGTGCGACCAAGGTCGGATGTTTGGTGGTACTGCCCAACCTCACCATTGTTAGGTAGGACACCTGATGTAAACCGATGTGACAGGCGGATTGTCAAGGAGTGAGAAGAGAGTTCTTGTACCCTTTGAAGTTGATGAATGCCTTGAGTGAGCCGTCTTGCAGATAGAATGCAATGCAGGGTGTCTTTTCTGACTCAGGATGCTCGAAACGCCACTAGAGTGTCAGTTTTACAAGTGTACCAGATCCAGCTTTTTGTTCCACAACAAGCCGACAGTGCTGCTACAGGTCCATCCTTATGGTCCTTTGCAGACGCTGCAGATCCAAGGCCCCTCGAAGCAACAATGCTTCTGAAATCTTCTCAATGGTCCCAATTCTTGGTCATTTGGAGTTCGATTCCCTAGAAAGAAACTCTTCACAATAATCTCAACATCATGTAAATGTTCTTCCTATGTTTGACTAATGGTGCTGGAGACATTGCACCTGCCTTCATTACCTTTGGGGGCTTTGAAAGTGCAAGCACCCCTGAGAATAAGGACAACGCTGCAACTGGTAATGAGCAGGACAACATTCTTAGGCACCCCAATATGTTTGGTACAAAAAAGGGCTACTCAACTGTATAAAACTAGATCTAGAAGACCTTTGAAGTGCATGTGCAGACTGGTTATCTCTACGACGATGTGGTCAAGGCATTGCGGGCCAACAACTGCACCTGCGCACAGATTCGAAGTGAGGGTCTCGTATTGTCAAGAGTCCAACCGTAACAAGCCTCGATGCACGTTCAGAATTATTTGCGGAGCGGAGTAATCATTCGTTCTCTCGAGGTCGTTTAATCAATCATTTCTTGTGTGCATGGAGGGGCAGGTACAGTTACTTTTTTGCCGTGGTTGCATCTTGAGCAGTTTATAAAATATGAGCCATCCTGTACAAGACTATTGAGTTGCTATTGCTTCACACCTGCTTAGCGCAGCTTTTTGTTTCACATGATTCCACTACCAGATTGTTCTTCTGAGGAGCTCTCTTTTCTGGCCCCAGTTTCTCATTCTCAACTCTTAAGTGTTTTCAGGCACGCTTGCATCGGCGGATCGTGGCCTCCTACCAGCCTCGAGTGCACAGTCTTAGTATTAGTATTAGTCTACAGCTTTGTCGCCCTTTCCTTTTCGCAATTAAGGGTTATGAATGGCTCTGGCTCATCACAGCACGTTCCAAAAGAACGCTTTTTCAAGTAAGAACGCAAGACAATCTCTACGCCTTCGCGAGGGCCGCAATTCTGCCAAGGTGCACCCAGGCTTTCAGACAGCCTTCAAGTTGATGGATTTGACAGCCAATTTCAACGAACAGGGGCGACTCGGCACTGTGAAACTGGAAATGAAAGGGGGCACGACTGAAAGTGGAAATTCACCCAGAAGATTAAATTCATCCGTCAATGTGAACTGATGTGATGTGTTCAACTGCCGTCTGCAAGAATGTGGTTCAATATGTATTCCTGGTCGACATATAGTGGCAGCATCGGGGCAATTCATCTTATGCAGTTATACAACTCAAATTGGAATGGGTTGGTTATTTTGGATCTGGCCTGGCTGTCACTTGTTTTACTGGAATCAAATCTGACATTGGAAAGTATTGGAAAGGATTCCTTTTTGTTGCAATCCGACGTCGCACTTACATCACTGCAGGCTTTCTGACAGCTCCGAGAGCCACGCCTCAACGGAGGGGCACACCATCATGCAGTGTACATTGAGCAAAGAACACTTGCAAGATTGACTGAACGTCTCTAGAGACAGAGAGAAAGAGAGAGAGAGAGAGAGAGCGAGCGAGCGAGCGAGTGAGTGTGTGAGAGAGTGACAGAGAGACGGAGTGTGAGCAATGGAGACAGAGTAAGAGCTACTCACTCCTTGTGTCTGGTCTTTGCTAAACCTCATGCACGCCTGATGCCAATCAACATCCCTTGTCGCGATGTGTTGTGCGTCACTTGGCGAGGACTTGGCTTCAGAACCTGAGCCTGAAGAGGAGAACTTGGCTGTGACGATCTTCGGCAAAGAGTATGAAGGTGGAAGTGACACTTTGTGGGAGAGGACGCTACTAGGGGCTCCTGGCATCGCTACTAGGAGCAAGGACGCTACTAGGGGCTCCTGGCCTTACTACTAGGAGCAAGGACGCTACTAGGAGCAAAGGGCTTTCATGGAGTAAATCTATCGCTTCGCGACGATAACCGCCAGCAAAAGTTGTTGTGAGAGACAGTGTGAGCATGGTCTATCGATCCTTTTGGTGCGAGACAATTTCAGGTAGAGGTGTCAGAAATCGGAGAATTATGTGGTAAGGGCATGTGTCTAGCAAGAGCCGAAAGAAGTGTGTATACATGCCGTGATACAATTTCACACACACACACATCATGATTTTGAACTCATTGGAATTGTACATGTTTTTTTGGGTCCTATTCATTCATTCAAGGTAGGCAGGGTCGGTGATGAGGAATTATTTGATGTCATTCAGTTCACTCACTCCTTTCAGCTTGAGGCTCAAGCCGCTCGTGTGAATCAGGGTCGCTGATTCGCAAGATTCTTTTTTTGTGTGCGAGCCATGGCTGACGCAGATGCTCGACGCGCGGTTGAGCAGGAGAAGCTGAATACCTGGTGTACCAGGATGGGGATTCAGAGTTCCAGCGACTTGGCTTTTTGGTTTACCTCCTACGAGGAAGCACTTCGTGAAGCTGGTCGCGCAGTGGCAGATGGGTGGGATCTCGCCCGCCGTGAGAGCGAACCGGGGATGGCAGCTCTGGTTCGGCACCTTTTTGCGAGGGAGACAGTTCGCCAGTCTCGCCCGCCACAACCATCCAGTGCTCCGGCTTCTTCATTGCCTTCATCTTCGGTGGCCCGTCCGAAGCCGTCTTCATTTGCTGGGCCTGTCAGGCCTAAGAAGCGGCCAGCCCAGTCGACTGATGCTACGGGTGGAGTCGCTGCCTTGTTTATTCGTGACCTGCTGGGTATCATGGTGACATTGATGCCTCCACCACCTGCACGACGAGATGAATACATGGCCAATTGGGCCTCTCGCTTGGAGAAGCTGTGTGCCCGCACCGAGGCGGCTACCATCAAGCGCGTGGTCCACACCTGGAAGGACTTGGTGCGCTATATGGATCATTTGGGGCTGAAGTTTCCCGACCCCCATGCATTGGCCACCTTTATCCGGGAGCACCATGGGCCGACACGTGTTTTCACATCCCTGGGCTGGATGATCCGAAACCTTCGTGTACCACTGGATTTGCGGGAAGCTTCCAAACCGGCTCCGGTCCGGAGCACCCGGCTGGGACAGGGGCAGTCCCAGGCCGCCCCGCTTGAGCCGGGCATGGTGACCCACCTGTTGGGGGTCCTGGAGTACACGGCCGAGCATGCTCACTGGCCTATCCTGATGGCCGCGGCGGCCATGGTGTTTGGGCTTATTCGGTTTTGCCACGTGCAGCGGAGCTACCTTATCGGCGCCAACTCCGCCATCATCATCTTCTGGTGCTTCAAAGGCAAGACCGGATCCCGGGATGGATTCACCTGGTCGATCCCTCGGCATTTGGGCAGCCTCGATCTTCATGCCATTTGGACTCGTCAGTTGGACAAGGTCCGCCCACGTCATGGCGAAGGGTATCGTCGTTGGCACTTTTTGGCCTTCGACTCTGACACAGGTGTCCCCGTGTCAATTGGGCAGTTCCTTCGAGTGGTTCGACCCTATTTCGATGGCGTTTTGGATGTGCAGAACCTCAGCTCGTACAGCTTCAGGCGGGTGGTGCCCACCTTAGCGGGGATCGTGCGGCTCACTGACACCGAGCGCCTTGCCATTGGACAATGGACGGACGCTGCGAGTGGTGGCTCTACAGCGCAGACTCCATTGCGTTACGATGCTCGGGAACAGAAGCAAGGCCATCAACTCCGGCTTGCTGCTGCCTTGTTCCTGGCCAGCGCCTCCGAGCTTCTTTGGGAAGAAATCAAGACCACATCCGCTGTGGAGCGCTGGTCCGAAGCTATGATCGCCGCGGACGAATTGCTGTCAGAGAACCGCAGGGTCATTCGTGCCTCGTCTGAAGACATCCCTGGCATGCCTATGGTGAAGTCGTTGTTGCCGGCGTCCCTGGCGGTAATCCGTACAGCTGGACAGAAGATTATTCGTGCTTTGCGCAAGCGGGCAGCTACAGCTTCGACGGGATCTTCGTCCTCACAACCGCAGCCGAAGCCTTCGGTGTCTCCACGCTTGGCGTCCAGGCCGGATGAGCCTCCTTTGCAGAGGCGACGCCTCCCTCAGAAGAAGGCGGCGCAGGCGGCGCCCGAGCAGGTGACTCCTGCCCCTGCGGTACTGCCTGTACCGGCCAGTCAGGCCACGGTGGAGCCACCATCCCCTGTCAGGGTGCCGGGGACTCCGGCGGTGGCTGTCAAGAAGAAGCCGCAGCCACCGGCTGCCAAGGCACGCCCTCCGCCGCCAGCGGGGCCGCTCAATGAGGTCTCCGATGCGGCGGAGCTCTTCAACCTCTGGTCCGAGCACCCTACCAAAATCGCCCAACTGGAGCTTCTCACAGTTTACGTTGGCTTCATCTTCGTTGCCAGTCAGGCCCGCTCCTGTCAGGGGCTTTGGTTTGTGGACAACATTGCGGCATTGATGGCCCTGATCAAGGGCAGGAGTGATAACCCGGAGTTGGATGCTATGGCAGGATGTATCCATGCCCTCCTCTATTCACTGCGCAGTGGGTGCTATTTCGAGTGGGTCCAGTCCAAGGACAACTGGTCCGATGGTATTAGCAGGCAAGGGATTTATGATCAATGGTATCAGGCTCATGGATTTCGGGTACACCGTGTCCCAGTACCCCACCTCCTACTCCGCCTACCATATGTCATTATCAATCACGTGTTCCAGTTCTTCTGAGTGCTTTGGGAATGTTGAATGCATTGGGAACGAATACCTGGCAGAGGTATGCACCAGGGGTGCGCGCAGCGTGGGCTGCTGTGACAGGGTCACGTTAACCAAAGCACTTTTGAACCCAGACATTTGAAGCTCACGTGAAAAAGAAGCGAGCTGTGTCCGCCTTGTCACACATCAAGTCAAGTGTAACTGATGCAGCCGAATATATTCATTCATTCAAGGTAGGCAGGGTCGGTGATGAGGAATTATTTGATGTCATTCAGTTCACTCACTCCTTTCAGCTTGAGGCTCAAGCCAAAAGGAGTGTCGCTCGTGTGAATCAGGGTCGCTGATTCGCAAGATTCTTTTTTTGTCCCACCCACCACACCCTGTGCTCGGTACGAGTGGTTACAGGTACTTGTGGCAGCTGTCGGCCTGTGTTCCCATGGTTGCGGTGCGTCCATGTGATTTCCCTGGCCTGTGCGATGTCATCCACGGAATGGCCTACTTGTAGCAGCAGTCTGCAGGAGTCTACAATTTGATTTGATTTGATGCTATGGTCTCCAGTTGATACCGATGATCCATGTTGAGCATATATTCAGTTGTCATTTTGGAGTCTCGGGGCACCGCGTGGTCGCTGCCAGCTGAGTGCCACGGTTGCGCTGCCTGTCTGTCATTTGATGTGACCACTGGTCACCCTGGCGCAGTCTGCTGTGAGCCAGATGAGTTGCAGCTGTCGGCATGGCCAAATGCTCTGGCAATGAGCGCATGGACTGGTGCTGTCTGCGGGATACCATGGTGTCCATGATGTTTTCGTCACTGCTTTGAGTCTTTTGTGGCTGCAGTCTGCAACATAGCCACCACATTTGCAGCAGTCGGCCAGGCAAAATACTTCAGTCATGAGTCCAGATACCGTTTTCCAGTGACATTGCGGAGCAATTGGAAGTCACTGTATTTGCAGTGTAAGAGTGTCCACTCTTTGATTACTGCACCATTTACTTTTTGAGCCCTACTCCAACATAGTCATAGGACTGATGTTCAGTATCCTCTTGACTATTTTAAGGAGCCTACCAGGTACAGGTAAGGGAACGAATACCTGGCAGAGGTATGCACCAGGGGTGCGCGCAGCGTGGGCTGCTGTGACAGGGTCACGTTAACCAAAGCGCTTTTGAACCCAGACATTTGAAGCTCACGTGAAAAAGAAGCGAGCTGTGTCCGCCTTGTCACACATCAAGTCAAGTGTAACTGATGCAGCCGAATTAAGTTATATTCAAACATGCAATCAATTTGTCATTTGTTATTTTCATCCACTTCATTGTATTGCAGTGCGTTTTATCGCATTGCGGTATATACTATTGTACTGTATCGCATTTGATTGACGTGGACTCTACTCTATCAGATTGCATCGCACTGTATTGTGTACATACTGTGTCATCCAAGTCTTATTATTTTTGGACTCCCTGGAATTTGTGCATGTTTCAGGGCGTCCTATCATATTCAACAATATATACCTGCAATTTACTTCTGGTTATTATAATGTTTCTCTTTTTTCTGCATCCAATGCATTGTATCTCACTGTGGTATATTCTAGTGTGCTATATATATCCTACTCGATTTATTTTTCGACCCCTTGAAATCGTACGTTTTTAAGCGGGTCCAACTTATATCCAACAATGACTGTCCATTTTGTTATTTCCTTATTTGTGTTCATCCCATAGTCTATTGTTTTGTATATATATATATAATTTGTGTCTTACCGTATGTCATTTTTGCATCATTTGCATCACCAGATTCCTGAAAGGCCTCCTTCAACAGTTTGGGTAATTTCTCACTGAACGTGTACCACTTCATGTTCTATACTTTGCACTCCCAGATCATACGGCAAAGCACTTCCAAATCAAATGTTGCAAAATCATTTGTTTTCCCTGTGTATCTTTGCATGTTTTCTCCCACCACCACTTCCCCTCCGGACACACTTCATGATGCCGGATATGCGAGCGCGCCCCAACACAACAACGCCCCTCAGCACCTTCGGTGTGGACAGATTCGAATATATATATATATATATACAGATACAGTACACCTGTTGCAAATCATTCTTACAAAGGTTGCTGACCAACCAAACACACACCCGTCGCAAAAGAGGTTGGTATCACCCCCGGTCCAGCACATGGGACCTCAAAATGTTCACTCCATCCGAGCCTAAAACACTATGTTTGGAGTAGAAGAACCAAAGTTTTGTTTTGCCATGTTTGCCCTGTGCCAGACATGGAGTACTTCAAGCGCTTGAAGAAGGAGAAGAAACGGGAGAAGAAGGACCTTTGTGTTGCAAATTGACGCAGAGCTTTGTCCTTGAAAACAATTACAGTTTAATGTAGCAATCTGGACATGCTTGCCCTGGTCCCAGGAGAAGAAGCCGGGAGCATAGTCTTTTGTGATCTTTTGTGGGTAATTATTGCTACTTGTTTGGAGAAACACACTCTTTTTCCATTACTTTTGTAAAGATGCGTAAAACCTGGCCTTGATTTGCTGTATGAATCTGCGGATTCTCGACATCATGAAAGCATCAATCCATGTCACAAGTTTTATGACCGTAGTTAGTTGTCTCATCATGTCTGAATTGGACATATCGAGGCGCTGCAAAGGGAGTGTCATGGTCGCTGATCATAGCCATGTGACACAATGCCACACCCTTGCACTCACCCCAGTGGAGACCAGACTGCACCAGGGAAAAGAAAAAGAAAGAAAGTACGGATCCATTCGATGATCCTGATGTCAACCCATACGTCACTTGGATGCAAGCTCTATATAAGTGCTTGCCAGTCAAGCTCACACTTTTTTGGGAATCAAGCCTCAAGAGCTGCCAATCCAAAGAGACGAAACTCTTCTGCATGTCTTGCAGGACCTTGGCGCACAAGAAAAGCACCACAAGAAGAGAAAGAAGGACAAGAAAGACAAGAAGGCCAGACAGTGACAGGACAAGAAGGCCACCAGAAACAATGTACGCTTGTGTTGCGTACGGATCATGCATCGTGGTGACTTTTAGTACCTGTCCATTCGCCAGACGTGTAGAACAAGTGGATCCCGATGGTCCCATGCTTGTCCGGTTCTTGTGGAAATCGATGAACATGGTTTCTGCTCCAATCCACCAGATACTCTTAATGGCAAGGATTTGGAATGCCTCGCAAAAGGGATGCAGGTTCAAAACACCGGAAGGGAAGTGCATGTTTACTCTAGACCCTTTTGCTGATCCCTAACCCACCTTACACGCTGACGGTTTTGGTGCCACAGGAAGATTACAGTAAATTGTAATTACCTGACCCTTGCAGAGGTAAAAGGTGACAGGTGAGTTGTGACAGAACACGGCAGAAACTCCTTTTCAGACTCCGATGGTTGGTCTGAGCTGCGGTGACCAGGTCGAGGGTTACCTTGTCTTGCAGTTGAGGGCAGCACGACGCCGCGAATTTTTAATCCATGTATGTTCGCATTGTCACAAGACCTGCTGTCCAGGGTGACCAGAACTACTCAGAAGCCCAAGCCTTGTTTGGATCTTAGACGGTCTTTTTGGAGACCAGGCACTCAACCAATCGCTGGAGACATATTTGGCACAAGAATCTATGTCGTGCAACACAAATTCTTAGAGTCCACTAACAATTGAACCATCATTTTTTAAAGAACACCTGTGGGACTGTCTAAGGTCAGGCTTGGTGGATTTCTAGGTCGATGAACGGGCAAGGCCAACCAGGACACAAGAGCAAGATTGGGAGGTACGGCAATTGTGAAACTGCAAGAGGATGATTTGGGTTCCTTGTTGATCGTATTGTTTTTTGTAGACTTGCGCACAGCCAATGTGCGTAGCGGCGTAGCGCATTAGCTGGATTCTTTTTCAAGCCCCATGATTGTCTCATGCCCTGCGACACAACAGAGCCACATCCTTCAGTTGGTGGCGAACATCTTCTCATTAACGACAAAAGCACAAACGGCAAAGCCATCATGCTGCAGGAGTGCCGTGTTGGTCGAGCTGTCTTGCTAATGAGAAGTGGCCTTGTTGAGGTTGCTGAAAGGAGCTCCTGTGCTTTGCAGGGTTCCTCACCCGAAAATGTGCCGCCAGGTCCTTGTAGCTCCCGGGCCATGCACATTTAACATCTCTAGACTCTAGACTCTAGAACGTGGAACTTCAAATTCACCGGCAGAGGTTGAATGTGCATGAATTGGTGTCTGAAGCCATCTGACAGCTTCGCCAATTTTCACATAGTTTGAATGTGGCTTTTTTGAAGCTTCATGCACTCACCGTTACACAATGAAATGATGTTTTCATTTCAACAAATTTGGACTTGTACGTGAATTAGTATTGGGCTTCAGATCTCAAGTGATCTCAAGGACTCTAGGGAGTTGAATCCTTCCAAAGTGATGCGAGAATCTGCCTTGCCACTGGTGCGGGGTTAATTGATTCAAAGGGTGTCGTATGTAGCAGCAAGTCATTTGTGTTTCATGCACAAGTGGCCAGCGCAATGTACATATCACACCAAGACATTTTGTCAAGTGCAGACAAACAAGACTCTTTCTCGACTACTAGGAGCAAGGACGATACTAGGGGCTCCTGGCATCGCTACTAGGAACAAAAAGCTGCTAGGGGCTCCTGGTCTTACTACTAGGAACAAGGACGCTACTAGCGGCCTTTGCGTCTGAGAAGATGAATCAATGTATGTTGGACCCATGAGGTTGTCCCAAGCTGAAGCCGAAGCCAGCTGAGCTGTGCAGCGTGGTAGTAGTACATTGCAGTGCAGCCAAACTGACTCATCAGATCACACGCCTTATCACTGCAGACATTCAGATGCTTCCCAGTCCAAGTCAGATTGCAAGAGATTTGTTGATTTGAGAGTTGACTGGAAAAGAACATCTACTACTTGAATGCACTTGCTGCTTATTGTTGCTTTAGTTTGAAGAACACCACCCCTTGCTGCAATGGCACCCAAGCCTGCCGCTTTTGCACCACCTCTGCGGAGCGGACAGAGGGCATCCAGCGCAATCAGTGCGGTTGCAAAGGTCCCCAGCCACTTGGAACTTGTGGTGTTTACGGAGATTTCGTTCGGCAATTGCTTCTTTCAGCCGTTATCAAGCCTTGCCTTGCCCTCTTGTCATTTTTGTGTGCTTCTTGTCAAATACATTTTCAGTCTCAAGTCTGATCTTGTGCACGAGAACTTACGCTACCGTAGGACCGTAGACCAAGGCTTCGCGCGCATCTTAAGTAGATGGACAAGTAGACCCCCTCTAGCAAGGTCTTTTGAACCACGTTTCTATTCGTTAGGGGATCTCTCTCTCTCTCTCTCTACATACATCCCTCAAATTCCCACAACCTATCCTAGTCTCGTGCATGCGTTTAATGGCAGGGGGGGTTTCAGAGTGGATTCTTCAGGACACAAGCTAGGACGCTACTAGGGGCTCCTGGCATCGCTACTAGGAACAAGAAGCTACTAGGGGCTCCTGGCCGTACTACTAGGAGCAAGGACGCTACTAGAGGCTCCTCGCTCTAGAGTGTTGTGTTCTCAAATTCGTCTCCGTGAGAGAACGCCTTCGTTGCTGGTGCTTCAGGTCGCCGTTTGCGACAAGATCTCGGTCCTGCCGTTCAGGCACATGAAGAGCCGCGTGCGCTTCCTTCCACCACCTGAAGAAGATTCCTTTATTTTGGATTCTGATGGTTGACTTTCAGCAGTTTGTTCTTTTCCACTGATTCCTGTGAGGATTTGCAAGGCTTGGTTTCACCCATATCTTTTATGGATGCCTCTCTTCATTACACCAGAAAAGATGTCCATTGCAGGGTGGCGAGCGTACGCATCTCACCTCAACGTCCGAGTTGCAGGTACGTTGTAGCAAAGTCGGCTTGGGCGGGTGGATAGATCAAGACCAAATTTGGAAACAAAGTACCGTTCTAAATCTTGGGTCTGAAGACGTGCCTGGCAGGTGGCTTTTGACCTCTTGGATGAACACAAGCGTGGTGCTTTGGATCACCAACAAGCCAAGAGGTTCGAGATGTTTGCCTGTTAGCCTTTTTGTCAAAGTTTTTCTTGGTGTGTTTTGTACGATCATTCTGCTAGGTGGCTACGATGCGCAGGTTGGTGCCTACCGGACAAGGAGCTCAGCGAAATGCTCGCCGAGCATATCAGGCAAGATTGGAGCACACCGAAGAACACACTGTGGGCACGGAATGCCAACCCCAAAGTGGATATGTTGATTTGTGAAGCAATTGTATTTTAGTATTTTAGCACAAAAACGGAGCATGAGACCAGCCACCAGTCTTACTCTCCCCCGCTAGGCAACGCGCAAAGCGTGGTACCATGTTGGAGGAGAAGTGGGCCTTCAAGCAACTTTTGGATGTGCTGGAGAAGAACAAATCCAGACCTTTGGATAGTCTTTGGATTGAGTTTTTTAGATGCGTGAGGACGGTCAGAAGGATGTGTTTTTGTGATGGCAACTGAACAACCTGAAGTGCATTCAACATGTTTTGCTGCTTCCTATTGTTTACTTATCGACAACAAAGCTGAGGAGAGAACACAACTGTGAAACGCCTACAGCCGCTGGACCAGATCGTCAGAGTTTGAAAGCACTCTAGGCAGCCACCTTTGCCACAAATATGGTGTAATGAATTTGAACCTAAGCCACCAAAAACACGGATAATTTTTTCACAAGTTTAGGACTTGCGTTGGGGTTTGCACTTGAATTTTGTTTCTTCGTCCACTGACCACACCTCAGGAGTGCCTTGCGCTGCTTGGCAGGTTTATTTGAGTGACGAAGTTTGCCAACATTTCAACACATTCCCTGGGCCACATGGAAAATTACAACATTCCTCTCCCTTTTTCATTTGCCGCAGTAGGCAGTGGAGAGCTTTACAGGTATGTTTCGCCTGTTGGAGAAGGGTTTGAGAGCAGCAGAAGCGTTCGCTTCTTCTGCAGTGTTTAACTTTGGTGCTTGTAATTTGTGAACACAAATTCTGGGCAATTCTGGGCCAGAAAGCTTGCCTAGATTCGAATCAGAAGCATTCAATTAAGGCACTTTGGCCAAAAATCGGTCGAAGATTGCGAAGGTTCGGCTGCTTTGGGCAAGGGCACAAACATAGTTTAAGAGGGTTGCCAAGCACAGCATCACAACTTTCCATGGCACTACAGAGATGCACAGAAATCTCAAATTGCCAATTTCATGTCTTTTTCTCCAAAGTGCCTTACGCATCCTTGGAGGCAAGGCTTTTGGAGATCTCCGATGCGGAGCTTGTGCTCAGTGAGCTGAAGCTGGATTCCAAGTGTCTTAGGCAGAAAATCTTGAACGACGGATGGACAGATGCCTAGACAATTGCTTTATCTCGGTAGACTTGCTGGAAAGACAAGCATCTTGCAAAACTATCAGCCAAGTCCAAAAAGAACACTGTAGTAGGTGCTGCCTGGTTTGAGGAGTACAATGATTACGAAAATACACATTTGACCACAGACAGAACAGGCGCATAGTTCCCCTTTTGTTCTGTGAATGGGATAACCATGTATACTATACCTAAAGACATTCATACACAGGTGCCTGTTGTACTCTGTCACACTTTGTTTTGTTTGCAGCGTGTTTTGGTGGAATTGTTCTCCTTAACAAGCTGTCATCTTCTCCGAATGTCTTTGCTCACCATTGCTATATTTCCATGCCATTGCGTTTTCAGTTCTTTTTATTGAGGTTCTCCAAGAGCACCAGCCTAGGAACATATTGGACTGCGATACCCTGGCAGAGAAGATCCTTGCACGAATTTGTGATCCGCCTTGTCCAAGCTGGGCTGGGCCCAGCGTCTTAATTTGCGTGCAGCGTGACCAAGCGCCACCAGGATGCAGGAAGTGTGAGCCGAAAGCCACTCTGACATGTTGAAGACCAAGTAAATAGAGATAGCATAATGGCATAGGGTTGGAGGTGCCCAAATGGGCCCCTCAAATGCTACTATCCCTAAATGGCTCGGGACCTAACAAGTTTATTTTGTTGGCTCAATCAAGCGTAAGCCTTTGCATCCACTTTGCATTGCTTTGCATCCGCTTCAAGGCCCGATGTACATATCAAATATGCCTCCCATGCACACCTGGATCTTCTCTTTGACATCTATTGCCGTCGAATTCAGGCTGGCTTTTGTAGTTTATTGTCTGACTGCAACACGGAGCCACATGCATGTATGCAGAAAAGTCAGATGCATTCATATTGAATTCATATTGCAATAATATTGTTGTTTTATATGTGTTTGTCGAAGGTCTGGTAATTATCATTTTGCGGTGGTTTGAACGTCTTCAGGTTGACAGTTCCCTTGTGAGCTTTAAGCTTCGTAATCGAGAGCTCCAAGAGGACGACACCTACGAAAGCTTGAGAATGGGTGGTCAGGACCAACATCTTTTCAGCCGATGCAGAATCTTGCTGTCATGATCGAAACAGCAGGTAGCTGAGACAGGCAATGCAGCGGCTCAATCCTTCACCATGTGTTTGACAGGATGTCATCACCGCCACAGTGAAGGCATCAAAGGCTTCCGACTCTTGCTTGCAGTCAGGAGGAAAAGTATTTACTATTGTTTTTATATGTTTTATCTTTTTCCTGCACTGATGCGGCTGGAAGTGAGTGCAAGCCTTCCTAATATATTCTGAAGTTCTTTTAGTTTTCGAATGCTTTTGAATTCTGTTTGCTGAACTATTGGCGACTGTCTTCAGGTCCGGTTTGAGGGCTCGGCCTCCTCCGAAAGTGATTCGTAGAAGCTTTGACAAAAGTCCTCATGGATCCTCATGGATCCTTTTGCTGCAGTGAATAAGTGACATGGACGCTTCGCAACTCGGTTCTGATTGTGCCGCAGTTTCTCAGCAGAGGCAATGTTATGATGGCAAAGCAGAATTCAAGGGGCTCCTGGCCTGACTACTAGGAGCAAGAAGCTACTAGGGGCTCCTGGCATCGCTACTAGGAGCAAAGAAGCTACTAGGAGCAAGGACGCTACTAGGGGCTGCTCTTGCTGTCGGCAGGATTATCATTAGGCTCTTGTGTGGCAACTGCCATGAGATTTTACTTTTTCGTTTCATGTTTGGGGGCTGCTGCGGCAGTGCTGGCATCAGCGGTTTGGTGGGTTTGGCCGGTGATTTTGCGACTCTGGCGAATACCGCAAGTGCTTGTTGATGGCAAGGACAAAGATGCCTTGCGCATTGGCATTTTAGGTGCTTCTTTTATTGCACGAGCTGCCGTGGTACATGCAGCGGACAAGCGCCGGGATGTGTTAGTGTCAGCTGTAGCAGCGCGTGATTGGACCAAAGCTGAGACGTTTGCGAAGCAACACGGCATTCCGGCCTTTCACGGCGGAGCAACAGCATATTTGGACCTGCTAGCTCGTGAGGATGTCGATGCTGTATATGTTGGCCTCCCAACACACCTCCATCTTGAATGGACGTTGGCAGCCTTGCGTGCAGGGAAACATGTCCTTCTGGAGAAGCCAGCTGTCTTGAACATGGAGGAGGCAAAACAATTGATAGGAGCCATGGCCGAGACAAAGCTGCAAGTTTTTGAAGCAGCCCATCATCGCTACCATCCAGCTGCACGACGCTTCAAACAGCTTACATTGAAAGAAAGAGACGTTGGGCTGTCAGATTTTGAGGCGCGGTTTTCCATGTTGGATCCAAAGGCATTGTTGTCGATATTCAAGGAGCTTTTGGGTATTTCGAAGCCAGTGACCCAAGAGGACAGATTTCACGAGAGAATCAAGAATTTGGACCGGTGGTACTATTGCGTTGATATGCTCTTATGGAGCACTGGTGCAATAGATGCAGAAGTTATCTTTGCAAAGGAGGATCGTTTTTCAATCTCTGCCACTTTGAAGCTTCAACGCTCTGCTTCCACCGCTACTGCAACTCTCTATATGGCAAGAGACAACCTATGGGAGCCCTTTTCCTGGAGCATTGCAGAACATGGCTTAGCAGACAAGGTGAGACATGCTTGAGGGATCTTGAGGGTCATTACTGTATATATCGGGACCCAATTGGCATCTTTTTTATTTTGAAGGGACTGCATTCAAAACATTTGACACAAGCAGGGCTGAGATGTTCGCTGTGAGGCAAGCAGTCTGCAGCTCCACAATTTTGGTTTCCCCTTTGTTTGGCATCGATTGGATGTTGCAAGTGCTTTGGATGGAATTGCTGTATGTGTTTTTGCCAGCTTGTTTCAAGAGAGAACCAGGGGGTGGATTGAAAAGACTTGTTGCTCATAGCTAGAAGAAAACGTTTTGAAGCCACCACCAGAATGACAGCTTGACTAGCCGTAGTTATTTGCTATATAACAATGCATGGAAGCACCTATGTTTGTATGCTGGAAGTTGAAGGGTGTACCGACTGAGGTGCAGGCAAGATCACCTCCGAGCAGCTCTATGGTGCTGGAGAGACTACGCAGCAAGCTGAGAGGGAACACCACTCAACTGGACCAGAGGAATATCTTCAAACAAGTCAATTCTATCAAAACCCTGATTGGAATAATCTGATGTTCTAATGAAGAGATAGACTTAAAATGTTGTTGAGGTTGCTGAACTGAGCGAATTACATTTTGACTCTCAGCAATTTCTTTCGAGACTTTCCTCCAGATTCAGGTTCGAGCATCAACTTGGCTTCTTTCGTCAATCCATTCGGAATCAAGAACCTCCCGATGCTAAGGAGACACATCGAACAATTCTTTCAAGGAATGCATTTTCACCTTTGACTTTGCAGGAATCATCCTTTCTATTGACGATCCAAATAATCGATCGTATATTGGAGGCAAGTGGTTCAGGAATGCTGAAAACACGGTAAAGATATATTCAAACAAATATATATATATATATTATACACATATATATTCTAGAAATAATATTGAATTTTAAATATATTAATTTAATTAATTATATTTATTTGAAAAAAAAATATGTTTAATTTAGAAATTTAATCGATAAATTAATTTATAATATTTGATGGATGGATGAATTGAATATTAGGAAATTTGGGAATAGAATGAATAAATTTACTCTATTTTTGAATAGGAACAATTTAAAATTTGAAAACGAATAAAAATTGGATATAATATATATTATTATATTAATATTATAAATAATTATTAATTAAATTTATAGATTATTAAAATTGATTTATATTTAATTTGATAAATAATATTAAGGATATTAATTATATATTAATTTTTAATTTAGAAAATATATTTTAAATAAATATAAATATATTATCGATAATATATACATTTAATTATTTAATTAAATTATTTTAAATATTATATTTAAATATAAATCGATATATTTTAATTATTAGTAAATATTCGAATTAAAATTCGAAAAAATAAATATAAATAATTGTAAATATATTATTGAATAATAATAATTAAGGATAAATTGGTAAATATATTATTGGTAGATATATTTTTTACAAGGAATTGGTTGGAATGCTCCAAGCTTTAGATCGTATTAAACAAGGATTTAAAGACGTTTTTTTCTTTTGGACCATTAGTATGTATTTAATCCTTCACGATCTTTTAGCTTAGTATGATTATGTTTGGATTATTAACCACATCCTGATATACGTAAATGATATCCATCTTAGATGGATTCTCACCTCACCGAGTGAGGGCCTCGCGGCATTACATGATTTGTTTTTCTTGTTTAGAGTGTTTAGTGCATATGACCTTCGTATTAATTAATAGAAGAGCGTGGCACTTACTCGCATGGTTGGCCGCGCGTTGAATCCTGGCCGCGCGTTGAATCCGTTTCTCCGCCGATGGATAAGTAGACCTATACTGCACCTACCAGATACCAACTTTACGATCCCTTTTGTGAGTAAAACCTCGTACCTCGGCACCATTGTGAATTATAGAGCATGGGAAGTTGACACAGTCAGACGTCGGATCACAGCATCCTAAACGTGCTTTCGAATTCTCTGCAGGTGGCTTCTTGATAAATATCATGACATCAAGATCCGAATTCGGTTGTACAACTAATGTATTCTTCCCACTGTGTTGTATGGGATCTTTGAGATGGGCATCATCTACAAATGCAGTCAAGACATCATTGGCATGATTAATAACTACCATCGCCTGATTGCATATGCCCCTGTACATCTCACTCGCATCCCCACCGCAGAATTCTTCACCTCGCTTGGCCTTAGGCCTCCATGGATTACACTGCAACACCTTTTTCAAAGACTCAAGACAGCCTTGAACCACCGACGGGACTTTTTCCGCAGTTCGGCCATGGATGAATCAGTCGAAGATGTTTGTGTCACGGTCCCAGCATATCCTGAAGCGCAAATTAGTCCACCCCTCCGTGATTCCATGCAAATGCCATAGGAACCTGTCCTTCGATGCCCGGAATGTGCCCGAGCCTTCACTCAGGTCAGATCATATAAACGACATCTTAGGGAATATCATCAGATTGCATGTCATCCTGAGGATCTCTTTCTTCCGTTGCGTGATGCATTGAATGGTCATTCCACGTGCAGACATTGTTTGAAACAATTCACTGATTTTTACAGATTCAGAGATCACATTAACAAGCGAGTCTGCCTGTCTTTTGACCCTGCCAAGGACACCATTGTGCCGATCGGTGACCGACCAGATCTTCGCATGCATTTCAGATACAAAAGCATCCCAGGCTTGCTCCTCAACAAAGCCCTCATGAGCGAACTAGCCAATCATTGTGCCTACTGCCATTCGGCTATTGCTGCTAAATTGATTCGTAGACACTACAAAGATGCTCATCCGCAACTCCTGCAATATGAACCACTGCATCGGGCACAGGTGTACGGATTCGCCCAACTCGGATCTGGAAAGGGCCAATGCATCCTTTGTGACCAAGCTAGTCATAATGTCCAGAGCCATCAATGTGGAGTTCTGTTTCAACTCAGTGTCATGCTAGGGCAGACCTATGATGTGTCGCACTTTCCAGTCATGCCTGTCATGCTTCGAACGCTGCCAGAAGATCGCCCAGAGGATGATCGTTCGACCTCTCGCCTGACCAGGACATCGACCACACAGGACGAGAAACAGAAGGCCTCTCCGAGTGACAGCCGTCAGTCATCAACATCCTGCTCACAGACTGGACACCGAGGTTCGTCTAGCTTGCACAAATGCACACGTTGTCAGATGGCCTTCTTGTCTGCCATAGGACTGACTCAACACATGCAAGAAAGTCATGATGCCTCTTCGAGTGTTCAGACCACTGCCCCTCCGGCTCAGGTCTCCAAGAAGTTGAAAACATCCAGAACCATTCAACAGATGCTAGGCCTCCCACCTGCTGGACCCATTCCGGAGGCACCCAAGCAGTTCGAGTGCCCATTGTGCCTTGAAACCATTGGCCGGAAAGCTTTGATTGGTCATTTGCGCCGTGAACATCAAGCTGTGCACACGGGTAAGACATGATTCAAGGTAGTTTGACCTGTCGTCATTGCTATAGTACCTTCACCATGGAACAGGCATTGATCACTCATTTTAAACGAGGCTCCTGTCCAGTCTTGATTTGTCAATGGGCCCAAGCACAACACTTTGGCACCACCATAGTCGTTGCATCAGCCCGCAACAATCCGGTGGCTGATCACCCACTGTCAGCCTTGCTGCACAGGTACTTCGATCTCAGTCAGGCCGGCCGTGAGCATGATTCAACGTCATGTCCAGCATTCGAGCTTGCGCATCTTTGGTTTCCCATGCTTTATACACCGTGCTGGACCCCACTACAGGGCCTGACCTGGTTTAGGCACACAGCAGACTGGCTTTCGCATTTTCCCGAGATGCCACACACCACCTTTGTGACTGATCAGGCATTTGCCATGATTCGTGTACTTGGACATCAGCCACCAATTGCATGGGCCTGGGCCTTGGATACAGAGAGCATTCCTCACCAGCGATGGCATGCAATTCCGATTCATGAGACCACACATGAGCAACTTCAAGTCATCCAACAGATACTTGGTCATCTCACACAGATCCTGGCCCAAAACGATTTGCACCAGCTGACCCATCCGCCAGACGATGGATCTGCAACAGACCGAAGACGATCAGTCCTTCCAGGACTTGCTGACTGCATGCCAAGAAGGCTTCAAGCGGCCACGACACGAGACATCGTCCACCGGCCCTCCGAAGAATGGCGGAGAGCAACGAAAAAGGAACTCGACATCATCCACGAGTACATCCGACAGCAGGGATGGGGACCTGATCCAGATGCTGAGCCGACTGGTCCTTCGGCAGGAGGACACCCTGAACCAGCTTGGACTAGATCGGAGCCTGATGATCTTTCTTCAATGTGGCAAGGGCTCATTGATGCCATCCCTGCTCGAACTGGGCAAGCAGTGGCACACTCAGCGCCAAGCAGGGGAAACGACAACTTCACTCCGACAGACAATGTTCCAAGCAGTGTTCACCGAACTGATCACTCGGACCAGCAAGTTGAACCTGACGGCAAAAGAAGACGCACTGGTTCTTGGCCTCAAGGCCAAAGGAATCCTGACCGAGGATCTGAAATGGCAGTACCTGTCATGGAACCCGGAAGCCAAGGCTCTACAGCCGAACCAGAAGACTCCACTGACGTCCGACGATGTCTGTCAGACTCTCCGACGGATCCATCAGCTGGGCGAGAACCCCAATTTGGTGTTGAAATTTGCAGCCCTGCGACCGCTGACGCAGGACAGTTTGCCACAAGATGCCGCCATCGCAATTCCATGGAGGCTGGACGTGAGCCTTCGGGGTCCAGAAGCTCAGGAACTACATATGCTCCTGCTCAAGTTGGCCGGCAACGGCATTACACAACTCATCCTTATGAGGATGCGTCAGACCACGTTGCAGAGATCGCCCTTGGCGGTTGCAATCTCCCACAGATTGCGCAAGTCCTGAGAGGCATCCTGACGACAAGCCTCGTGAACCCAGGTTCAATGTGCTATTTGAACAGCGCTTTGCTGGCTCAGGTCTGGACCACGCTTTTGA